CACAGTTGACAGGAAAAGGCGATAACCAAAGCAAAAAGGTGACAGAGTAACCTGATTTATTGCCCACGAACGGAGCACGCTTTAGATCCTCCGTCGTGTAATCCACCGTGGTCATACTGTAGCATATCGCTGCAAGGGTTAATTTCACTCGAATTCCACTCACCTGCACTATTTCTACAGTTTGTAGTTCTTGTTTTAACCCTTTCGCGGTGCGAGGGCGCATTTTTCGCCTTTAAACACCTTTTACAAAACAAGGTGGGAAATCGTTCTCGAAAAGGGCGTTTTTTTCGCCCTTTTAGCTTTTTCTTCAGCTCTGCATACCGTGTTTTGTTACTACCAATCACAGCACTGAATGCAGTTAGGATAGGGGTAATTTTTGATCCGCCTCGTATTTTATTGCTCCAACGAGCGTTATCGGCCCTATCTACGTGGTCGTACCATCAAGGAAGCTGCCTACTACACGACAGCCAGTCACCAGACCATACAAACGGTAAGACAAATGCATACCTCCAACCTTCCACTTTGCTATAGTGTACTCAAGACTAATGCACACAAGTTTCACAGACGCGGAAGACAAGCTGCTGGTGCAGATCGCGTTCCAGTTCGAAAAGGAGGGCTTACGTGTCACATGGGACTACGTAGCCCGCCAAATGAAGACCAAGCGGTCCGCCCGCCAGCTGAGGCTTCGGTTAGCCAGCCTAATAAGGACGTACGGAAAGGCAATTAGTGGTTTCCCGCCATGTTTTCTTCGCGGCATGTCTTCAAGACGTCTTCTCGGAGCACCACCACAACCACCACCAGTCGTATTGCAACGACCGGTACGACCAGCCTGCCGACCTCCAGCTACTCCGTCGAGTGCTAAAGGTCCCTACGGTGATCACCACGCGCCAGGTTCGTCTTCTTTAAGGAGACGTTATTTTGTGCCGTTTGTGAGACTGACGTTGCGCTTGTTGGGTAGGTGATGACATATCTGCGAGTGCCACGAGTGGCAAAGAGGTGCCGGATAGCAAGGAGAAAGAAATCCAAGGTCGCTGTGATCAAGGTGGAGGTGGCTGTATTGTACGAAGTTGTGGTCATCCACTGGTGGCTATAGCGAAAAGCGCTTCGGGTGAGTTTCAAATTCTCTGTGATATATTTACGTTTACAATACTAACTAAGGTATTTGTGGCACAGGAACTGACTTCGGATCTTGTGGAGATAATCTAGACGATGTCCAAGCTGCTGAGGCAGTTGATATCATTTTTGGAAGTATCAGTGCTCATGACGTCCGCCAACCCGCTGGCCGCACTTATGACAATGCGGGTGAGGTGGTACCGTCTGGCGTTACTCTCCTACTTGCAGCCGTTGACCTACTCGATAAAGCGGACGTATTTCTCGACGTTGGGGCTGGTGTTGGCAACGTGCTTGCGCAGGTAGCGCTTATGACGAACGTCAGAGTGTGCGTCGGGATCGAGCTTCGACGAGACCTCGTCTCTATCGGTGAGCATTGCATGCGACCGCAGCACAGGAAATACCCACGGCTCAGGAAGGTACTACTCAAGCAAGCGGATTGTAGAGATGTTTTGATGTCATAGCATCCTCTCATTTGTGAAGCCACTATTGTCTTTGCTAACATAATTCTATTTGAAGAAGATGCTCAGCTTGTTGTTTCACGAGAGCTAAGTGCAATGCCAGTGGCGTGGATGGTAGTTGCGACGTCGCTCTTCTGCCCAAGGCATCATCACATAGAAGTACATGTTAGCTGGAAGGCAACACTCCATCCAATTTACATATACCGTAAAAACTATGATTCATTTGTTTTACTATATCACACTTGCCGCTCGTCAGTATCTTCGCCACGTCCGCGAGCACCGGTTTCACCACGGCCAGCACCATCAAGCCCAACTTCAGTGCCACGAGGCACATGAGCGGCATTACGAAGTACACGGCTGCCGACTCCACAAGCACCACCAAGCCCTGCTGCACCGCAACCAGCCATACATGCAGTATCACCAAGTCCCCGGGAGCTACCACGACCTGCGCCAGCAACACCAGCAGTATCACTAAGCCCACGGACGCCTGCGTCAGCACAACCGACGTCACAAAGTCTGGTTGCTCCACCACCCAGTCCAGCCGCACCTCCACCAAGTCCAACGGTAGCGTCAGGTCCAACACGGCCTGCACCGTCTAGTTCAAGTGCAGAGTGGCCATCCACGCCAGTATCGCCAACACCACATGCGCCGGATAAACCACGCCCAGTACCATCCAGTCCACGCGCAGTGCCGCCATTCACACAATCACCGCCAAGTCTAAATGTAGAGCCGCCGTCCAAGCCAGAAGCATCGCCAAGTGCACGACCGGCAGCTCCACCACGTCCTGTCACACCCATAACTGCAGCGCCACCAAGTCCTAATGCAGCACCACAAAGTCCACGGGCGCCGGCTCCAACACGACCTGCATCGTATGTCCAAGTGCAGCGCCGCCATCCGCGCCAGCACCACCAAGCCCACGTGTACCGGCTCCACCACAACCTGCACCACCAGGCCCACAGTAAATGGCAAGTCTGTGCGTGGCACTGCCGTTCGGACTGAATGCATCGAGGCCGATAGAATGATCTGCGCGGAGCCCGTCGCCACCGAGCCCGTAACCAATCTGCCGAGCAGCCACCTTCCGTGGTTTTTGTGTTCTAGGTTCATGTTCATCTCTCAGCTTCGCAAGTTCACTGTGACGCCGCACATTTCCTTTATCCGTACACAGGCCATTAGGAAGGTAGGACTGATGAAATTTATCCCAGCATGTAGATGTTGTCGACGGACACATCCACCGTTTCGCGTTTTGATCACGCAGAACCCGACACAAACACACACCGTGTGTTAGACAGTAATTCGTGACCTCGGTCGGATAGCGTCCTTCCCATCAGCACACAATACAGCGTCGGCGTTTTCGGCTCTTCTTAGCGTAAATTTGTCGTGAAGATACTGATGCGCACGTCGTTTCTGCCAGCACTGCAGACTTATTGCCTGGTGTCCGAGATGAAGGTGTATCAACTTGTTCCACGTCTTCGCCGTCCAGCATTCCTCCACTATATAGCATTCTACCGTCACTTGGTGCACCCCTCCACTGGCCGTTCAAAAGCTCACCTACCAACTCCATCAAGAACGATCTGTGAGGGTCACGAGTCGCTGGGTCCGGCTTGACTAGTCGCCATGTAAGGTAGGCGTTCGACCGTGCAACGTCAATAAGAGCAAGGGCCAGCTTCTTGTGCCACCGTTTGAACGAATGGCCATCTGCAGTAGAGAAACGCCCTCGGATTTGGTCGAGGCGATCAACGCCCTGCATGTTTGCGTTGTACTGAGCAACACACTCTGGGGCAGGATAGAACTGCTCAACGGCGCTATGAAATTGGCTATCTAGCCAGTGAATCTGAAAGAGGATGCGTTCTTGCCCTTCTTCACTTGACAGTACACCCTGCCAATAATGTAAGCTGTACCAATAGGTCGGTAAGCCTTAGCTTTCATCCACTTCTCCTTGTTGGGCGAGAATGCCACCAACTTGCTGATGTAGACATCTTGCAACATGATGGGGGGGGGGGGGCGTACGTGCTGGCGTCGTAGGCGCTCCTTGTGCAACACCGGCTTGGGGTGATTCAGGGACAGTATGGTCAATATCAACCTCCCTGCTGACACCACCTCTAAGTTCAGTGTCATCCATTTCGTTTGCTGTACCATCAACAACCACAACATTATTCGCGGCATCGTCCATTACTGGCTCCAACGGGGTCCTACATACCTTTTGAAGTGGCCGTGTCCGTAGCTGGACGTGCCTTCTGCC